CAGTCTGGTGGGGTGGGTGGGTGCATAGGGCTGGGCTGCGAGGGGATGAGGCATTGCAGAAGAGCGGAGGCAGAGCGTTTACAATTTTAGGGTATGCGAGAGTAATGGAGCTCTGGTAGCGTAGTGGTTACGAATCGGGCTGCTCACCTCAAGGTCGGCAGTTCGAAACTACCAGCTGTTCCATGGGAGAAAGATGAGGCTTTCTGCTCTTGTAAAGATCTACAGCCTTGGAAACCCTGTTCAGGGTTGCTATGAGTCGGAACTGACTCCATGGTACTTAACAACAACAACAATATCAAGGGATTGGGGCCTGGGGGCTCCTGACAGACCTACACTGAACACTACTTCATGAACATCTTTGGGAGAGTTTGTAATTGGAGATACCAGACGCATCCATTGTTTTGACAAGTCTGGGAGTACAAACTTTTGATGGGCCTGGGATTGGATGTCGCCAAGCTTGCATTTCAACCATGAGTCTAGATGTGGCCCCATTTTTTTTCCCCATACCTGAAGGAGAGGTTAGCTTCCCTGTGGACACAAGCTCTTGGGTTCGACTGTCCACTAATACAGCCGGGAGAGGAGCGCTCCTGTCCTGACAGTGTCACTGGCTGGGAGACTAATCCTTTTTGCTTCCTCTTTGTGTAGCAATAGCAGTTTGGGAATCAGTGACAGGGTGGTAGGAAGAACCTCTGGGAGGAGTCATGGGGTCTGCTCCTTTGATAGAACAATGAGGGCTTTCTGCAGCGTGAGCAGTGGCTTCCCACACACCCAGGGGCGACACGGAGCAGCCTATTAGCCCTGGGTGGGCTGAGGGGATTCCTTCTCTGCAGGAACTGTGGGAGGGAGACATAAGCTAACAGCTTCACGTTTTTTTACTTCCTTTTGTGACACTATCCAGAGACTCTTCTCCTCACTCAAGTTCACATGCTTTCTTCAGGCATCTGATTTTCCTGTTTGCCCTCCTTCTTCCTTTGGTTATAGAATAATGAGTAGCCAAGCACTGCACCTAGGTCTGATTGCCAGGTTCCTTGAGTTAACATTTTTTCTGGTACTTGAACAAAAGGAAACTTCAGTGAAAACCTATAGAGACTTGCTCTCCTATTTCCTCTCCCCACCCCCAGCCATATACAAACACCAAATTCAATGTCATCCAGTGCATTCCTACTCATAGCAATCCTGTATATGGTTTCAAGGCTGTAACTCACCACAGAAGCAGAACGTGCCCCTTCTGTCTCCCACAGAGCAACTAGTAGGTTTGAACTGCTGACCATACTGTTAGCAGTCCAGTGTTTATTCTACAGCATCACCAGGACTCCTTTATACAAAGATATGTTGTTGTTGTTGTTGTTATGTGCCGTGGAGTTGGTTCCGACTCATAGCAACCCTGTACAGGGTTTCCAAGGCTGTAAATCTTTACGGGAGCAGAAAGCCTCATCTTTCTCCTGCGGAACAGCTGGTAGTTTCTAACTGCTTATCTTGCAGTTCGCAGCCCGATTTGTAACCACTACAGAGGTCAAAATATACAGAGAAAGACTGGTGGGGCAGACAGATGAAGCCTGTAACTTTGACTTTTCCATTTGGGAATGACACTGAAACAGAAGGAATAATTGTCTGAGGTTTCTTCCTTTATAACTGGTACCAATGACATGAATTCAGCTTTCTTTCTCTGTTTTCTGTCTGCTGGGGTGTACTCTTCTGAACCTTCCTGTCCAGGAATTTGGTGTCCTGGGTTGCACAGCTGTTAGACCAGTGGTTGGTAGTTTGAACCTTGGAAGAATGACCTGCGATCCGCTTCCAAAAAGTCACAGATATGAAAATCCGATGGAGCACATTTCTGCTGTGTGACACACACAGAGTTGACATGAGTCTAAGTTGACTCAACAGCAACTGGCTGGATTTGATGTATTGATCTCCAGGAGTTGGAGATGTGCTTCTGCAAAAATGATGACACCACCCATCCCTCTCACAGCCCTCTCTACTCAACTGGGTTTCATGATTCATTACAGTGATCACACAGAACTGACATCATACTCACAGTTATGGGGGTTCTATTAGGGAAGTTAACAAGCTGCAAGTCAGCATCAGAATGTTCAGGGCACAGTTGGTCTAGTCAGGAAAGCCTCTCCTCAGCTGTGCCCAGAGGAAGACCTCTCCCTGGCCAGTGTTGCAGAGCTCTTTTAGAGCTGCTGATAAATGCCCACAGGACACACCACTCCACCATAAGCCTTAACCTAAGAGCACTAGGCTCTAGTTCTGTGGGTCAGCAAACCAGGCTCCTCTAATTAAGTGCCAAGAGACACCCCACTCTGTAAGCAAGCCTCCTGCCCAGAGTCATTCAGCTTTACTTATTCTGTGGACGGACAAGGCCACCACTCTGTCTGGTGCTCTGGCTCTTAGTTCTGCTGCTGCTGCTTCCTTGCCACTTCTCCGGTATCACAGTTTTCTGTCACTGCGTCATGGAGGTTCAATGTGCAGGAACCTGGGGGTCCAATGGATACATTCCACTCCGGCCTCTCTTGATAATAGTGAGATCCCCCTTTCTACTTCTGAGATGACTCATTTTAAATCTGAAAGGATGGTCACATTTACCCATCCCTTCATTAGATTTCCAGGGCTTTGCATCACAGTCTTCTTAACCTAACAGCTACTACAAGGGGACATGATGAAATGACCTGGAATATTGCTGTGGAGGTGGAGTCCAAGACAAGGGGACAGCACAGTAACTAGTAGCAGACCGTTGGGAGAACCATAGTCAGTCCAGCAAGAAATGGGAAAGACAAGATTTTTTTTTTTTTTTTTTTTAAGTCAAGTCCTTCTATCCATGGAGTCACTATAATAGGGCAAGATGCTTTCTGCAGTTTCAACAGCAATAATAAAGAACTTTGCATGATGTGTTTCTAAACACCTCTCACTTAAAGCAGTTATGTTATGTCAGGCTGCTGAAGGTTCTGTTGATATTGTCACTCCCCATATTCATATAGATGCAGTGTTGAGGCCAACAAGATAGATGGGCTATACCCAAGTGGCACAGAACAAACTTAGTGTCAGGAGGAGCAAGAAAATACTATTCCTAGTCCTGAGTGCTGCCAGATAAATAGATGTTCACCAGTAGCATCTCCCTCATAGAGGTATGTGAGGCACAGATGGGCTGGGAACAATAAAACATCAGGGACAATGTCCGGTACATAGTAGATGCACCATAAATCATAGCTCTGGGTATTTTTTCTCAGCCAGGGGTCTTAAAGTGAACTCTGTCTGCTTATCTTCAGCTTCTTCCTGTGGCATTGCTGACTGAGTCTTGGAGCAAGGTCACTTCCTTTTTCTGAGCAACTTCTTTTGCACCGTGAGATAGACATAGTGGGGTCATGTGTACCTTCGCAGAGCAAAGAGGTGGGGAATGGATTTTAGCAACAAGTAAAATGATCTAGTAAATATGCCTTGTTTGAACTGCAAGGCAATAGTTCAAACCTACCAGCTGCTCCTTGGAAACCCTACACAGGGTTACCATGAGTCGGAACTGACTTAATGGAACTTACCAGCAACAAATATGCCTTGTTAGAAATATAAGAAAAGCAAGACAGGTCTCACATAGACTGTAAAGGGTTTTTTTTTTCTGTTTTCCATTAAATCTGTTTTCTTTGGATAGAGCAAATCTGAAACTCGGGCAAAGGATTAGAACTAAAGAGTCAAGTTTTCTTGTATGAGCAGCGTGTCCTGGACTTCATTCATGTGCATGGACTCAGTCTTTCTCAGGACAGTCCACCTTGACTCAAATTGTTTTTAAGATGATGTTACAAGGCCCAGTGTAGACATGCACCTACAAATTGATAGGAATCATTGGCAGCTATCTTGGTTCTGAGTAGGATGTTATCCTAGAAGAAAATCTATGTAGCATGAATTCTTTGTTGTTGTTGTTATATTGTTAAGTGCCGTCCAATCAGTTCTTACTCATAACGACCCTGAATAGGGTTTCCGATGAGTGACTGGTGAGCTTGAACCGTTAACCTTATGGTTCAAACTGACCTTGCAGTCCAGAACACCAGGCTTCTAGGGCTAAGATCTTGATAGTTGTGATGGCTAATACAAGAGTATCTGTGTGTGTGTTTACATTAGAATATACTTTGTCCGTGAATATTTTCTGAGACAGTCCTCATCTAACCTTTGAGCATTGCCTGGGTGACAAGTTAATTCCTCAAATAGTGATGATGTTTTCCTTTCTCAGTTTGGGTGTTTGCCTATAAGCAGCCTGGGAAGGGTGGGGGTTCAAGAAATGTAGAGCTGAAATGACATACAGCTACATATTTCTTGTGAGACTTAAGAAGAGAATAGTGACCCCCACTCCCTTGCAAATCAGGGCCAAGTATCCCTACTATAAAGGAGTGCTTATCAGCTTTGACTTCTGCTGGGAACTTGCAAAGGCATTCCTTAGTACACACCCTTCATGCTGCTTAAAGCAAGAAATAATGACTTGGTTTTTGAAAACACAAAAGATTATGTTGCCTTGAATATTTCAGAGGATGTTGTTGTTAATCCTACAGCACCACATAGGAATCCTCTCAGAAGATAGACTGGTATTTTTTAAATTCTTTTCTAGATTTTGCTTAGTAATAGAAATTGGCCTGTAAGTCAATCAAAGCAAGGCAATTTATATGTTGGTGTGGCGCTGTAGGATAAGCACTGGACCACAAAGTCGGTTTGAACCACAAGGTCAGTGGTTTAAATCCAGCTGCTCCTTGAAAACGCTATACAGGATCGCTGTAAGTCAGAACCGGCTTGACAGCACTTAGCAACAACAACAAACACTTTTTTTGTTGAGAAGCTGAGAAGCTCCTCTGTCTGAGAAGCTCGTAGCTTCTCCTACTGCAATTGTAGTATGTGTTGCCTTCAGTCCCCTGGTTAGAACCGAGTGAGGAGGAGGAGAGGGTGTGCTGCAAAATGAGATTAGTTACTAAGGGTGCAGGGCATCTGGTGTAATGATTTACACTTGCTTATGTTTCCAGGCAGTGGACCAATCCAGCTGTGGCAGTTTCTTCTGGAATTACTCACTGATAAGTCCTGTCAGTCTTTTATCAGCTGGACAGGAGATGGCTGGGAATTCAAGCTCTCTGACCCGGATGAGGTAAGAAAGGAGTAACTTGTGAAGACTGGGTTGAGGAAACATGAACGAGAACTCTGGAAAGGAGCTTGTGTGGACCTGGGTAGTATTTCCTAGCATTCAAGCCCTAGCTCTACCACTTGCTATTTGTGTGACTTTAAGCAAGTTATAGAACCTGTGTGAGCCCCAGTGTCTGACTTGGAAAACAGAGATAGTAGCTACATTAGCCATTTGTTTTTCAAGATTAGCTGTATGGAAAGTGCCTGGCTCTTCCTAATTAGAATTTCCACTTCTTCCTAACCTTGTGGCTCTGTGAATATGAAAGGACTAGACAGTTTAAGGAAACTTTGGAAGATTGGTACCCATTTGTTCTCTGATTCCTTCTTTCATTCCACAAATGCTTATGGTGTGGTTGCTCTGTGCCATGTCTAGTTTTGAGGATAAAAAAGCAATAAACAAGAAGGACAGTTATCGATGTTGTGACAGAAATAAAGGCATATTTTGCCTCAGTATAGAGTGGTTACGAATCGGGCTGCTAACCTCAAGGTCGGCAGTTCGAAACTACCTGCTGTTCCGTGGGAGAAAGATGAGGCTTTTTGCTTCCGTAAAGATTTGCAGCCTTGGAAACCCTGTGCAGGTCACGATGAGTCAGAACCGAATCCACGTACTTAACAACAACAACAATAGACAAATTGCTTCCATTTGATGACATACAGGTATGAGTGCAACTCAGATTCTACTCCCTCATATTAGAATTTGTGCTTTCATGGCAAGGGTATTCAACTCATAATGTGTAGGGGGAAAGGAGAGTCAAGGTCACTGCATTTCCAATAATTTAAAGAATCAACTTGACCACCATCCTTGCCCAACCCTTGAAAACCAGAATACACATAAGATAGGTCAGGAAATACCATGAATGAGTAGATGCATGCATCTACTGCATGCATGAGTAGAACACATACACTTGAAGTGTGCTGTAGATTTTTTTTAAAAAACCCTTCTCCTTTTTAATTAAGCCTAGTTTTTTTTATTTATGTTTATATCAGGTGGCCAGGAGATGGGGAAAGAGGAAAAACAAGCCTAAGATGAATTATGAGAAACTGAGCCGTGGCTTGCGCTACTATTACGACAAGAACATCATCCACAAGACGGCGGGCAAGCGCTATGTGTATCGCTTTGTGTGTGACCTGCAGAGCCTCCTGGGGTACACACCCGAAGAGCTGCACGCCATGCTGGATGTCAAACCCGATGCTGATGAGTGATGGACACAGACGCAGATGGGGACACTTTGTTTTGAGACATTTCGTGGAACAATCACAAATCAGTTGGACTCTTGATTTTTGTTAGTCTATTTTTAATTTTCCAGAACTCATTTTTTACATTCAGGGGTTGGGAGCGAAGTGAGCTGTCACTATGATCAGTGTACACAGTTGGAAAAGGAAAACCAGGACATTCTGGGTGGGTGGGACAAGAAATTCTGTAGCAAATTTTCAGGAGAGAGAGAGGGGTGATTTTAGAAGATTAAGGAATCTGGCTTAAAGGAAGACCAGATTAAGGTGTCCAATCACTTTTTAAAGTCATCCATGAAAACATGGATCTTGAGTTATGGACCCATTTGCAAAAGAAGCATCGTGAGTCAGGAGACTGATGAAAGGCAATAATTTGCCTTTGTTTTTAAGTCTGGGAGGGCAAAAAAGGGAGGTGGGATGAAACATTTTGTTAAGAGCATATGCAAAAAAACAAGAACTATTTACCTTTCACTCTACTTCTGAAAAAAAGATGAACTTCAGTGGGGAGGGGCCAAAACGGTTTTTGTGTTGAAATTTATTTTGTTAAATTTTGTGCCAGTATTTTTTTCTTAAAAATTGTCTTAGGCTCTAAGGTGGTCTCAGTATTACAGTATCATGCAAGTTTGTGTTTATTTGCCAGCTGAGGATTCTGTCACAGAGAAAGAAAACTGTTTATATAGACCCCACTGGAAAAGCAAAGCGCTGTCACTGAGATCTGAGATGCCAAGTTCATGTGAGACTTGTATATGAAGGAAGATCTTATGCCGATTTGACTGTAAAAACACTGCATGGAAATTTCAGATGCAATTAAAAAAAAATTATTACATCCCTTACTTATCATTAGTAGATTCTCGGGTTTTGGACTTAATACTGAGCTGATAAGCATTAAGTCTTTGAACTGAATGTACTTTGCAACCCAGAGTTTGGACTACAGTAAGTGTAGGCGCACTGTTGAAGTTGTCAGAGGGAAATTAAAATAGGAAGTTTGCCTCAGCACTGTACTGGTTGATACCTATAGTATGGGTTCCTGGTGTGGCGTTGCAGGATAAGCACTGGATTGCTAACCACTAGGTCAGCAGTTCAAACCCAGTAGCCGTTCTTTCAAAACCCTATTCAGGGTCGCTGTGAGTCAGAACTGACTCTGGCACTTCACAACTACAACACCTGTGATATATATATGATTTGGAAAGAAGTCTGAAGGAATAAGTCCAGAATACAGGTAGTTCCAAACTCACGCTTAAACTTTCCACCTTATTATTTTATTATCCAGTGTCCCACATTTGTTTCTTCAGTCTCCTCTGTTATTTAGTAGAGATAAATGCATAGCATTTTTGATTGGTGAGCTAAAGAGTAACTGAAGCCTTGATATAAGTTGAAGTTTCTAATAAAGCCATTTAGACTTGCCTGGCTTTAGAAGAGGCAGTGGAAATTAAGAAAGCATAGAAGTAACATGTGAGTTGATTGTCTTCAGGAGACGTACAAGGCATTCCTTTGAAGAGTTTAAGAATCTGAGATTAGAATGTTGAGTGAGAATGTATGCAGAGCGAATAGTATAAATTCTATTAGGGTCTGGTGCTTGGATCTGTTATCTTGGTACAGGGGAAATAAAGAGTAATAATTGTAGGACAGGAATGGCTTGATGGCAAAGGAAAGAAACTTGGGTGAAAAAAATAAGATGGGCTATGACATTAGACTTTGTTTCAGTCCCCCCAAAGTTTAAACATAATCAGTTGAGCCTGTCAGCGGTTGCAAGGAGTGATCTGAAATTAGGTAATTTTGGGGGCAAACCAGAATCTAACTAGTGAGAAGCGCCTCTAATATGATTAATGCCTGATTAATTGCATGAAGGAAGCAGGAAGGCTTTACAAATTTCAGTAAGAGAAGTGAAGAAGCCTTTAAGATGGGCTTCTCAGGGCTAGCCCTTTCTGAGCTCTAGCTGAGAAACTGGAAGTACTAACTACCTTCTAGCATATCTTTAAGAACGTTTTATGATTTTCTCCCAGGTCCTCTTGCAGACCCTGAATTATCAGGAGCACTGCTATGTGATTCATGAACACTCATGCTAATAGAACAAAGCAAAGGCAGAATTATCCCAGCTGTCTATTTTGATCTTCTTTCACATGCAGGTGCCTTAATTAAGCTCTCAAAATATTTTCGGAGCTGCTCAGGGAGTATTAGGTGGAACTGTTTGGGCAATATTGTTTTCTCTATAATTATGTGATCTTTGTTGGGCACTGGTAAAGGGGTGTGTGTGTGTGTGTGTGTGTGCGTGCGTGCGCGTGTGTGTGCATGTGCTTGCAGACATGAAAACTGCATTTCTTAGTTAAGTCTTTTCACATTTCTTTCAGTAATAAGTGAGAGAAGAACCATGGGTCAGACATAGATCATTGCTTATAGTATGCAACCAGGCATAAAATCACTTTCTCAACTCATCAACCTATTAAATTTATGCTGAAAACTCCCCCTCTGTTAGTATGTCTAGCTCTGGCAACCCCATAGCAGATAAGAGATTAAAATGTGCCTCCTAGTGCTCTTGATCCCACTTGTGTTGTAAGATGCCTTTCTCTCTAGGTCCACTGTTTTCAGTACTTGTAGATAGTGTATTTGTTAAGTCAGCTTTGTTGATCTGGCCAGATGCTTATTTCCTCTCTGTCTAAAGGCCAGAGACCATCCCAGGAAGAGTGGTGGGTGGTTTATACACTGGAAATGTAGCAGAATTGTTGCATTTGTGCTTTTTCATAACACATGTTAACTTCAGAAGAAGGATGAGCAAATCTGGTTTAACTGGGTGAAACCCTTAACCTTTGTGGAGATGCCTTACCGAGGTCGGTTTTGGCTCTGAGGTTCGGAGTCAGTGTTGTTCCCTTCTCCATTCAGGGGACGGACTTCTCACTCTGTAGCCCTTATTTGTGGCTATGGGGATTTGAGGTAGCATTCGGAGATCAGATGGGCTTATCCTCACTTTGGAGACGAACACTCTGGGTTTTTGAGCATTAACCTGCCTAACCTTCATAGTGAAAAATGAAAAACACCTTCTCTATTCTAGTCATGCTGTGCATGCTGCTTTCTCTGTTGGGGTCTATATAAATGTGTTGAGCTCTTACATACATTCCAAAGACGTTTCAAGGAACAATAAATATATATGTGTGTGTGTGTATATATATATATATATATACACATATACATGTATATGAAAATGGTAATTATCTCTTATCAGGAATACTGCCTCAGTTATTGAACTTTTTTTAAGAATATTTTTTTTTAAACTGAAAAATAGAGGGGTTAAAAAAGATGTTTTATTGTGTTTGACTATTTTCCAACTTGTATTTTCATATAATTTATATTTTTTAAAAGCTGAAAATTTAAAAGCAAGATAAACAAATAAGGAAAAGCAGGTGCTTTTAAGAATCAGAACTGAGGTAGCTTAGAGATGTAGCAATGTACGTGTCTATGTGTGTGTGTTTTTTTTTAATGAATGCAAAAAAATTTTTCTTATGGGAGTTTGTTGTTAATTTAGTAGCTGATGCTGGCACATCATTTTGCTGGAGAGTTTTTTATATACTGTAGTGATTTCATATTGTATTTTAAACTGTGTGAGATTAAAAACCAAGAAATTCATTCATAATGTTGTGGGTTTGGCTTGATTCTTTCCTGTCTGGTTCATGTATTAAAGCAGGACAAATTATAACCAACAGACACAGCACAAAAAGGAATATATTTCACTCTCTCTGCTTTCACTAGTTCAGGACTATCTTAGAGAAAGGTTTCCCAATAAAGTCAGAACTAAAATAGGAAGAAAGGCTAGTCATTCTTTGTTTAATGTTTAGGCTGTATTATACTGTATTTTGTTCATGCCGAAAGTACTAAGTTTAAGAGTCATGTGAAGCTATTTTTTAATAATTCAACAGATAAACATTTGATTCTAACTAGGTGCATTTCCTGTTAATGCAAAATTAAACGTCTATTAAGTAGATACTCAAGGAGTCAGAAGAATTGATGCTTTTGAGTTATAGTGTTGGACGAGAATATTGAAAGTGCCAGGGGCTGCCAAAAGAACCAACAGATCTGTGTTGGAAGAAGTGCAGCCAGAGTGCTGCTTGGAGGCCAGGATGGCCAAACTTCGTCTCTTATACTTAGGACATATTGTCAGGAGGGACCAGTAGCTTGAGAAGGTATCATACTTAGTAACATGGAGGGTCAGAGAAAAAGAAGACCCCCAACGAGATGGATTGGCAAAGTGTCAGCATCAATGGGCTCAAGCATGGCAACAATTTGAGGTCTGCCCAGGACCGGGCAGTGTTTTGTTCTGTTGTGCATAGGGTCGCTATGAGTCGGTACCGACTCGTTGGCACCTAACCACAACAACAAGTCTTGGTAGCATAGTGGATTACGAACTGGGTTGCTAACTGCAAACTCAGTAGTTGGAATCTACCAGTTGCTCTGCAGAAGGATGGTTTCTGCTTCTGTAAACATTTACAGCCTCAGAAACTCTATACAGGGTTTCTATGAGTCAGAATCTCCTCAGTGGCACACCACCACCATTAAGTGGACACTCAGGACCAGGAGTAGAATTCTTCCTGCTCCTCCTGACGGTAAGATTGCTCCATCCAGGTTTGGCCCTGTGCCATTTCTTTTGTTGACCTCAAAATTATATCTGAATATGGAAGTGATAGCATTCATCAGAAGATGCCTCAGCAGCCATGTCATTTAAGTGCTTTGGAGGCGGGTGCTTCAGAACACATCCTGCAAAGTGCTTTATTCTTGTTGAAACTGTAGAAGGTGGATGTTTTTAATTAACATCAACATTTGCGACATGAATCTTAACTCACAGCTGGAAAGCAAATTTTTGCTGAATTGTTCACAAAGAGAGCTCTGTTTTTGGAAAATGTATCTCTTCAGTCATGGAAATTGAGGTTTGCTGAGCTTACGTTAAGCATGCACTATGTGGTCTAGTGGTCAGGGAGCTGGACTGCAAGAAGAGAGGCTCTTGGCCTTAAATCCCAACCAAGCCACCATCACTCACTGGGACACTGGAAATTTTTCTTGAGGTCCTTTTATTTTTTGACTGCAAACCTGGGTAGAATCACAACTTCTGAGCCAACCTGGACCACATCTGAGCTATTCTCCTTCTGAATAAACCGTATGCAGAGAAAGGGTTTCTTCCTCAGGAAAGGGTATGGTCAGAGAACTTTCCTTCAGTGCCAAGTTGCTGTTAATCCCTCAAAGTATCTGATTTAATGCTGACAAGATTAAAAGATGCAAGGTAGACTTGAAAGAAGTCAATTTAGGCTTTTTCCCAAACCAATTCCTTGATGGGGAACACTCGGGCAAAGGGAGTCTGACTATCTCTCTCATCAGTCTGCTGACACCTTCATAAAGCTGTGGTGGTTGGGGTTTAGGGAGAAATCACATCTTCTGAAATTGCAGAATTTGGGGGAATGGGATGGGATAGGATGAGGATGGGAAGGAGACAGGA